CAAAAAAAAAAAAGTATATTTTAACAGCTGATAGCTCAATTTTGAAAATGAAATGCATTTTAATAAACACTGCCTTGATAATTACTCAAAGTGTGTGTATACATTTTGGGGGACACCTATATTAAATGCCAGAATTCCTAGGCAGTCTGGTGGAATCTGAAATCCTTATATACAGGTAAACTTTTTAATTATTTATTGCAAATTACAATTCCCATAATCCGATCATTTCCTTTTATGTATGTTGAATCTTCGTTTGCATTGTATCTTTTCAGATACATACTCTTGGTATCTGCCAACAGAGATTTGGGGGAAAGTTACATGTTCAAAAGCAAAACAAATGGAGAGGAATTTCACTTAACACAGTGGACACCACCAGAGCCATCAGTTCACACATGACCTTCCTCTCTGGCTTTCATTTACTTCTCTTGCCACTTGAAAGGCTTCGTGTGCACATATCTGTGTAAACACTTTGTCATCTCTAAAGTGCCTTTATTTTCTTTTTTAAAATATATTTTTATTGACTTCAGAGAGAGAGGGACAGAGAGAAACATCAATGATGAGAGAGAATCATTGATCATCTGCCTCCTGCACACCCCCCACTGGGAATCAAGCCTGAAACCTGGGCATGTGCCCTGACCGGGAATCGAACCGTAGGTTCGACGCTCAGCCGCTGAGCCACACCAGTTGGGCTAAAGTGCCTTTGAAGTGAATGGTCTCATTTGGCCCAGTTGGTCCTCGGTGTCACTCAGGCCACGACCCGAGAACAGCTGTGGCTCCGGGACGCCCCAGTGTGTGTGCTGTGGGCTCCGCCGTGCCCCTTGCCCACCAGGCTGCATGCTGAGGTGGGGTCCGTGATGCTGGCTCGGTTTGACCCAATAGGCTACCATGGCCTGGCACATGGGCACCTTTCACCCTAATTCCCGGCCCCTCTCCCCTGAACGCTGGATGGCAGAGTCATGTTGTATGAAAAAATCAGTGCGTGCCTGACAACAGGTTTCTCATGGAAACGCTGCTTTCAGCAGCTCTGACCAAGCCCGTCAGTGTGGGTGTGTCCTGGAAATGCTCCCAGGACTCCATAACTTCTTTCCTCTTTTGTTCTTTCAGAATTAAGAGGCCCAGTTACACTCAGGGAGGTGATGGGAGAACTTGAGGGGAGGAGTGAGAACCCTTAGGAAGGGGACCACGATTGAATTTTAGAAATTGCTTAATTTGGGGCCCTTGAGGTTACATGTGTAAACATGGTAAACAACAACCCTTTGAAAAACCATTGCTTGTGTCTGTGTTTGCGATGCTTTTGCCTCCTACTGTGACTCGGCTGAAGCAACGGGCCTTTGGGATAGAGGGAGTCAGGCTCAGGTGCTGTGAAGGGTCAGAGCGAAACTGCGGTTCCCAAGGAGGCCCACAGGCACTTGCAGTTTGTAAAAAGCATCCATCCTTCCGAAAAGAGTGATTTGAGTCCAACTCTCAGAGTGCCCGGGAGCTTAGGGACCGAGTCACCCCATCTCTGGGCTGCCCCAGACCCTCCCCGGCACCTCATGTTCCCGGGACTGAGTGAATCTGTGTGGGGCAGAGGCACCGAGTCTGTCCCGTGCCTTCCTCGGTCGCAGGCCGTGGCTGTTGCGGGGGAGCCTCTTTGTGGGGAGAGGACTCCGTGAGGAACAGGCCCGCGCCACTGCAGGGCACCGGCTGCCCGGATCCCTGTTCAGTTCTCTCAGCAGTGCTCGTCCAATGCCCCTGCTCCTCCGAGTGCTCGTCCAATGCCGTGCACGCCCTGCCCCACCAGCCTCGTGTGGGGCTGTAGATGACAGGAGCGCGCAGCGCTGTCCTGGCCTCGGTTGAGTGTCTGGTTGGCGGTATGGAGTATACCCAAGGCGCAGAAAGAAATGGTGGCTGTGGACAGGTGGTCGCGCCAAGAGCTGACCATCTGGGGTCTTGGCCACCTCTGCCCAGTCCCTGCCGCGAACCCGTGGGCTCCGTGGGGCCCGCCTGCGCTGTGGTTTGGAGGGATGGGGTTTGGGAGTCTTCCTCCTGAACAAGACGCGAAGGGCCAGTGAGAGACGTTGCACGGTGCTTGTGGAGCAGGGCCGTCCCAGCAGCGGGCGGGATGGGCCAGGCAGGGCTTGGGGGGGGGGGGGGG